AGTTACCTGAGCAAATGATGGAGAAATGAGAATGCCCTACCACTGGATGTGATCCGTTTGAAGTGTATTTTATTTGGGTTTATCGCCCAAATGATTGATATGAAATTTTCAGGAAACGGACGAAGATGGTCGTATGACGATAAATGATTTATTCGGCGATGAGAAGAAGCGAAGTAATTTAGTGGACAAAAATATTGTAAATAATAGTAACAGTAACGGTGTGGTTAACAATAATAATAACAATAGTAGCAAGAAAGATTGTACAAGCAGCGATGAAATTCGAAAAGATGAACGCAAAAACTCGAGTAGATGGAAAAAGGAAGAAGGCGAAAGTCCTGACTCGGGCTTTGTCGACGAAACCGGTGACAGCGATCGAGAACATCCACAACATAAGTAAGCTGAGATGTTACTTGAGTGGTTTCTTTAAAACGAGAATGATACGGGTTGATGAATTAGGAATGGAAACGTTTGAGTGGATTCCGTTTTTGGAAAAATTTTTTTGACCTGAAAAAATTATTACAATTCGATNGAGATTGGTATGAGAAGATATTATTGGTTAAACTTATTTTCTTTTTTTATTGTGAACTGTGATTGTTATAAATTTTTCCAATTGATGTGTTGCGCGTTTCAGTGTTCTTGAAAGTATAATCGAGGATTTTGGACGGGTCTCACCAATTCTTTCACCTCCACGACAACCGAGCTCACGTCTGCCGCCTCTCACCCATCAGGATGGGTATCCGTCTTTGAAATGTGTCATCGATATTTCTTCACTGCACTCAGCTGACAGAAGACGTTTGCAAGCAAAACTTTCTTCATTAGTACGTTTATGAATTCACTTTTATCGTCGTCGTACAAATTCTTTAATTATTATGCGAATGTCAAAGAGGCATCAAAGGTTTTAAATAAGTGAATGATTTTTGTCAAATTCGATCGTTCCTTAAAATTGCTTTGTAATATCTGTGAATCATGAATTATTTCAAATGCTTCTAAAAATAGACTACTTCTGTACGAATTTGTTTTTTATTGTGCTTAATCTAAGTGACCTTTCCTTACTGATCCGAACGGCTCGATTCAGGAAGTCAACTTTCAGGAGCATGCCACAATTTTACCGCCCAAGCCAGTTCTGTCACCACCTCGTCGACCCACTTCAGCCTTAAAGCTCGCTCAGAATAGCTCCTCTTCACCACCTCACTCAGATGGCCGAAGCAGTGTCTCGCCGAAACGGCCATCAAGCCGAACAGGCGGCGATTCGTTGCCTTCGCATTTGCCTCAGACAACCGCCTCATCATCAGCCGCCAACCCGTTAGTCTCAGATAATCGATCGCAATCTCCGTTGCTCACATCGAAACGTGCCACCGCTCTAAAGGAAACGGCAAGTGAGGCGTCCAAATTGGGTTCGTCGAGCACTAAACATCAACGTACCAACACTCCATCACCATCATTCGGAG